GGGGGAGGCGGGAAGAAGCATACAGATGATGTTTTCCAGCTCGTCTTCGGACTCGGTCAGGATGACGCAAATAGGGCCGCTGAGGAGCGATTTTTCGGTGTGGGCCAATTAATGCCACCACCATGCTACTACCATGCTACTGGCAATCCTATCAGTACGGCTATCCTTGCACGTGCGTGCGCAAAGGGTGCCCACCCTCCGACCAGGGTTTCCCTCTCTCTCCACTTCACTGTCCTTCCGCCTCCCCGCCCATCTCTGGTTTCTCCAGTGCCACGGGCCCCAGTATGCCCGCTCGAAACTCAGTCAGCAACCGTACGGCCGTCCTCTCTATGTTGCCCTGGTACAGCCTCTCCGCCGCCAGCGCCACAAACTCCTCCCCGCTCACGCCGTCCGCGCTCACCTTGAACCGCTCCTCCAGCGTGCGCATCTCAAAGTACCCGTCATACTCCTCGCACACCCTTTTAAGCTCCTCGACCAGTAGCCCCGCCACCACCTGCGCGTCGTACGCCGCCTGCCCAATGTCGTCGCAGATAGCCAGCCGCACCGCGCTCTCCTGCCGCTCCAGCTTGGCCGGGATGATCCCCGGCATGTCCAGCAGTTCGATCGTATCCGAGATCCTTACCCACTGATAGTTTCTAGTTACCCCAGGCTTGTTGGCAGACTTGGCCGCCTTCCGCCCCACCAGCCGGTTGATCAGCGCGCTCTTTCCCACGTTCGGGTACCCGATCACTAAACACCGCACCGGGCGCGGCAGCAACCCCTTCCGTGTGCGCTTCTCGTTCACAAACGACCCCGCATCGATCGCCAGCTTCTTCAGCTCTTTCACCCCGCGGCCCTGCTTGGCGTTAATAAACCGCACCTTCTCCCCCTGCTCCACTAAATGCTTTCTCCACTGTGCCCGCGCCACCTCCGGCGCCAAGTCCGCCCGGTTCATCGCCAGGATCCGCGTCCGGTTGCCTATCCACCGCTCCACGTCCGGGTGCGCCGTCGCCAGCGGGATCCGGCAATCGCGCACCTCCACCACCACGTCCACCATCTTAATGCACTCTTTCAACGTCCGCTCCGCCTTGGCGATGTGCCCCGGGTACCATTGGATCGCAGGCGTGAAGGAGCCTACATGTGATAGCGGGCCCTTCGCTGTGTTGCGCGCCCGCTTCGGCCGCGCCGCCTTTCTTTCCCTGGGGGGGCTCGAACTTGCCGATACAATCGTCCGCCGCGGGGTCCCTGGCACGCCGTTGGGGGCGGTGTTATGCAGCCGTCGTATCGGGTGGCAAAGCTGTCTGGGAGAGGGCCCGCGAGGGGGGGCCAGTCGGAAGAGGCGCACCCCCGTCGTCACAAAGTTGAAAGCGATGCAAAAGTTGCAGGCGGACATGCTGGCGCCGAGGGGTTGTCGGGTTGCGGTATTTGCGGGGCAGGGGCAGGCGAAAGGAGGGGGAGGGGGGGGAGGGGGGCGGGGGAAGGGTGGCGTGTTATCGGAAGGGAGAACATCTGTGATCGTTTCAAATACTACTGTACGGCATCAAAAATACCGCACCTCACTTGAGACTGCCAGTGCCTTTCTCAGTCCGATCCTTTTCATTCTGCCTTCTCACGATGCCTAACTAACTTCCACCACACCTCTGATGTCCACAACCCTTTGAAACTACCACGCTCGAACCCGCCTTTTCTTGTCCCCCAACCAACATGGGCCACACGGTCAACGGCACAACCTACCCGCAGCTCTATGTGCACGCCCAAACGGCCCAACTGCGCTGTCTCATGACCACGCTATGCGATAAGCATTCCCAGCGCGGCGACTGGGTCTTCACAGCCGACCGCGTCAACCGCATCATGGTCGAGTTTGCTCTCAACTTCCTCCCCGTCGACCCCGTGCGCGTGATCACGGCCGTCGACGACGAGGCGGCAGAAGGCGTCTGCTTTGCGGGTAAGATCGTCGGCGTGTCTGTCATCCGCGCCGGCGAGGCCATGGAGACCGCGTTGAGGTCTTGCTGCCGGAACGTCAGGCTGGGAAAGATCCTCGTTCAGAGGGATGAGGAGACGGCCAAGCCCAAGTTTTACCTGGCAAAGCTGCCCCATGATGTCGCAGAGAGGCACGTGCTGTTAATGGACCCCATGCTCGCCACAGGGGGGAGCGCCCTCACCGCGATTGGCAAGTTGCTCGAGGCGGGCGTCAAGGAGGAAAACATCATTTTTGTTAATGTGGTCGCCGCTCCTGAAGGGATAAGCAATTTGCTCCATAGGCATCCCAAGATTACCTTTTGTACTGCCGCGGTGGCCGAGGGTCTTACTCAGAAGTGCTACATTCGCAGGAGTGTCGGTGACTTTGGCGACAGATACTTTGGCACCAATAACCATGCTCATTGATCCCACAAGGGCGGATTTTGCGGCTAGCTCGGGAAAGGCAGTAGCTCTGGTGCGCATCTTGGGTTAGAACGGTCTAGTATACACCTAGTCTGGCATTTTCGACAGCGGCTGGCTACAACTGCAATTCCTCGGAAGACATCGTGCTCATGCGGCACCATTTTCTTTTCTGTTTATCTTCTTCCCGTACGATCGCGTCTGAATCTTACCATGTGTCCATAATCTACGGTTTTGCACATGCTCGGGCTTACTATTTATTTCAAGCATGGCGCTCCGTCGTAAACTTTGGCCTCGTTTACGCGGAAGCAAAAGCACACAAAACTCTGCTTCAATTCGTGCTGTAGATAGTATCTATATGTATCTACTAGCTAGATACTTCGTTGTTTCCCAATTTTACTGGACCTGAAGTCAAGATAAGTCACCCCATGTCCTCGCGGTCCTGCGAGAGCGAAAGCACTGAAGACATGCGCCGGTCTACTTCACTGGGCACAATAATGTTGGTTGTTCTTTAAAGGAAACAGAAAAAAACGCAAGTGTTCTCGAGTGCTGCCAACTTGTTCTACCCGAAGGTAGGAATGTCGATTGGCTTTGGGACTTTTCAGCCTCCCCCAATCTGCTTATATGTTCTCTCGTGGTGCCTCTCGGTTCTATTGCTTTACGATGCTCGAGAGAAATGCACTTTGCGACCCTCTATATACTCTGAACGAAGCGGTCTTTTCAGAGTCGCGAAGGACCAGCAGCAACCTGATTTGAAACCCAAGTTCGAAAATCCTAAAACGAAATTGTCATTCCACATGTTCACCCTCCACGGTTGTCAGGACATGGGCGACTTTACGGTTACGCGCTCTGAACGGCTTCGACATGCCGCCCATCAGTTTTCCAGCTTTTTGCTTTCGTAACAAGCTGTTTTCTGACCTAATAGAACATGCAGCATAAAAAAGGATGTTTTTTCAGAGGGCATCTTTAGGACAGAGCATGCCCAGCACCTGCGCAGCTTCTTTCTCCCAGGATAGGTCCAAATTCCGGAAACTGCACGACGATGATAGCACCAGCACCCAGTCCTCCCGGTGCCCCACCTACCATGTAGATATCACTGGTTCAACCACTACGATGGCCTCAAGACTAGGGATGAGTCCGACTTATGTATCACATCATCGCTCCAGCTCGCGAGGAAGAACACGCATTTCGCCTATCCAAGGACTATCACACTCTCCTACAGGCGGGTCAGGAATACGTTCTGACCCGAGGCCATGGGCAGACAGGAAGTATGTTCAGGAATCTGCCAGGCTACTCGCCTTCTTTCTCAAGAACAAAGGGTTTGGTTCAGGCATTGTCCCAGAGATGTTAGTAAGTCCTAACGCCGCCGAATTTGAACAAATTTTCAAGTTCTTGATTCAGGAAATCGATCCAACATTTAGCTTTCAAAGGAAGATGAAAGAAGAACTCCCTGCAATTCTTGGAGCTGTAGGCTACCCATTCTCGATCCCGAAAAGCGCCCTAGGCGCCATTGGCTCCCCGCATACTGGACCCATACTTCTTGGGGTGTTAAAATGGTTGATGGGTTTGGTGCAGTATTCTGATATGAGGGAGCACGAAGAAGACAGGAAACGTCACAACGAACCGACTGCACAGAGAAATTACGCTATTTTGGGAAATACGGTAGAAGCCTACGTCCGTTTTCTTGATGGAGAGGACACATTCCCAGACCTTGACAAAAAGCTCATGCGTTTTTTCGTTTCTAAAAACCTGGAAAGACAAAGTGTAATTGAAAGTCTTGAATCAGATTGTCGTGAGTTGGGGAACACACTGCGCGCCTTAAACATTCAACAAAGCCCACTAGAACTCATTCTTGAGCATGTTGATTCCCTTCAAGTTAACATTGACAGATATTCGCAGCTTATTCCATTGCTTATCAGTCATGAGAGGCAACTCGTGGACAGGGTGGAAGAAATAGAAAAGCAGATTTCTAACGAACAATATCACCTTGAACTGCTCGGGAAAGAAAAGAGCGAGTTGGTGGCTTGTATTGCCGAGCAAAAGAGGGGTGGAATTATTGCTGAGAAGACTTTATCGGAGAAGAATTTGTTACAAGATGATCTTCGCACGGTCAGGACGAGCTGTGCGAATGTAAGAGTGCGACTTCAGGCAGAAAAAAATCGACATGCAGATGCAATTGATAGATTAGAGAGAGGACTGAAAGCTTACGGGAGGAAGGTCATTTCTCTTTCAGAAGCACGCAATATGGGGGTCCCTGTGGACGAAACGAGTCTACAGTTAAACATTGAGGAAGATTCTCATGACACGTTCGTAGGGAAAACTTTCCCAGCTGATGAAGTTGCAGGCATCATGGCCTGCATCGAAAAATATAGAATTTTATTCTCAGAGCATGTGCTCAAGTTACAGAAGGAACTGCTTTCTCTACAAGAGGAAAGAGACAGAAACGAGGAGATTCTAATAGTTGCCAGAAACGAAGAGTGGTTGATAGAGTCTCGCGCCAAGAACCTTAAGAATGAGTACGAAGATTTGCGCAGGATATTCGAATCGCAGCTCGACACACGTCGCGACATCATTTTGAGTAGAGAAGAAGACTTGATAGAGATGCGACGCGAGTCAAAAGTTGTAGCACAAAAAGATGGGGATCAATTGCTCAGGACACAGTTGGAGAAGTTACGTTTGTGTAGTGAAGTTTTCCATAGACAGAGAGAACGACTGCACGAACTCAGCACGCAACACGAGTCTCTGTCGGGAAAGTACCTGGAAGAGGTGAAGGAATGCCTGCTACTGTCGAAAGGATATTTCAATGGTGAATGGGTCATTTCTGGTGAATGAACTGATTGGGGGAGGATTGGGGGAGACAACCTGGCGTTCTCCGAGAGGACTTCGTTTCGCAAACAGAAGACGGGTGGTCAATTATATGTGTATAGTCTGAAGAGAATTGTGATGAAGTATTATTTGTCGTTGATGCCATGTAAATGATTGAAAAGCCGTGGCAACAGTCTACTCACGCGCCTAAATGGGGGTGAGGGGATAATATTAAGGCAGATTGGATTGTTTTGGGGCAGGAATTAGGCCTGAATGTAAGGAATTGATCACGTCATGTGATTGCATCTGTTTGTGAAAGTGAACAGAGCCAGTACACGTAGACCATTAATTGGGACGGCGTTGAAGATGGGGAGCCAGGGGGATGCTGATGCGAACATCACTTTCAGGCGTCAACGAATGGGTGGATGCCTCGGGTTATAGAGGGGGGGGGGGGGGGGGGGGGGGGAAACAAATAGCTGTCGTCGTTCTCCCGGGGAATGTGATGCATGTAGATGCAAGGGTTTGGTTTGCTGCAGGAGCGTGACGTAATTCCGGACTACCGGCCGTACAATTATGGCGAAGAGACGTGGCAAGGCGGCGGTACAAAGGGGTGCAAACCGCGAATCATCCAATCACAAGACGCCAGAGCACAGACTTACCAATTGGGGCCTCTAAAATATCCGAAAATTTTGTTTCGCACGCATCACATTTGCATCACCTGGCCTCTGAAACTCGGACAGACACAATGGTTTGCAGGGTCTTCTCCCGCACAACTGTAAACGCGACTGCTCAGCAGAGAAAGCCTGTCCTCTAGTGCCACTGCGACATTATCACTTTGTCCAACACCGTTTTAACTCGCTCACTTCAACGTACTTCATTCCATTATCTCTTCCCAGTCGGCCCCTCCACTCCCACAAATGAATTCCAGTCCTCAATAGTCCCTCATACCCATCCTCAAATTCATTATTTCCTACCAACACAACCACTCCACTCTCCCCTACGACCTCGCTGTCACTCCTTCCCCTCGCTCTTTTTAAACCCCAATTTCTTTCTAATTACCACTATCGCTCACATCCCGGTCCCTGTCTGCACTTCATCACCTTAGCAGAGACAGTCTTCTACTTCACAAATATGGCCCGCGTCACTTGTTCATGTATACGTCCGTTCCCCGAACACATCATTCCCTTGCACGCAACAATCGCAAAATTCTTCCCTCCATCCTTCTTCCCGGTCCATCCCTTCACTTGTCCCGTCCCATACTATTCCCACACACCCGCCTTGTGTCATCAACTGGTCTGCATTCCGCAATTGTCCCTCGACTCTCACTCTTGAATACTGGGATAATCCTTTCACTGCTGAATCAACTTTTTGCTTTACACATATCCTTCTTATCCCTATACTTCTTGTTTTTATCGTGTCTTCTGCATCGCAACACAAAACCTCTTCACCTAACGTTTTGGCCTTCTAATTCGCACTCCTGCCTTCCCTACCTCAATCCCACGTGTCGCCTCGCTCCAGTCAGGTCCGATTTGCAATCTAAACACCGGTCGATAACGAATGCGCATCCGCAGAACAATTTGTACCCATGTATCCTCTCAAAAATGTGGTCACGCAATACTTCAAGACTAAGCCCCCTCGCGCTGCAAAACGAAAGACTAACCTTTTGCAAACTTCTATTGACAATTGCCTTGCTCTACCCGAGCGCCATCGATATACCCCAACTAAGGACAATCTATTTCCACAAAGACAACTTCACAAAACGCCAAGAAAGGCCATCTTGCTCCCTCCGGAATACCCCGCGATACCTCCTTCCTCAAGTCAACCACCAGATTGTTCTACTACGCTGTCGAAAACTACAAACATTTCCCAGACGTCGCAAAGAGTTTCACAAGAAGGCACAAAGATCTGCAGTGAGTGGTCTAGTTTTCCAAAGAGAGCTGCTGTTGGACGGCAGGTATTACTGAGCGATCCCTGCATGATTGGTGTCCTGTGTCGTAAGAGAACAGCACCGTTCCCGAGCCCAAGGCATCAGGGTCCCGTCGATAGCTGTCACGTCCACGCTTTTTCACCACTGAAACGTCCACGCAAGGAAAGGATGTTGCATCTTCTCGATTTGTCGGAAGACATTCTTGTTGGAATCATGACCCATGTGATGACACCAGCTAAAGAAGGAAGTAGGAAAATAATCACAGAAGAAAGCATAAAAGCGAGTCTTCCACTGGCAACAACATGTCACGCACTGTACGACGTGTGGAGACATTCTATGCACGACCTCGAGTTGTGGGTCTCAGGAAAATTGAATGATCGTGGGTTGGAAGCCATTTGCAAAGGTAACGGCAAGGGTATCCATAGACTAGGCCTCCGCCGATGCAAAGCAATTTCAAAACGGGCCTTTGCACAAATACCACGGCAATGTTCCAGGTTGCGTTCACTCGACATGTCACATACTGACATCGGAGATGACTTTGTCCTCGAGCTGACGAAAAACACTGGACGAAGCCTGCAGTTTCTTGCCTTGCACGGATGCAACAAGCTGACGGCGCGCTCAATACATGCGATCGCAGACCGCTGTCCGCATCTCAGGTTTCTGGATATCGGCTCTATCGCAGCTGTCGATGACGCCGCTATTGAATACCTTGTCTCAAGACTTGGGGGGTCTATTCGCACTATGGTTCTTTCAAACTGCAAAAACTTGTCCGACTCTGGCATGGCCGCTCTCGGCGTTGAATGCAAGGCTATCATGTCCCTCACCCTTCGAGGGTTGTCATCGATAACAGATAACGGTTTATATAAACTCTGCTGCGGAATTGGAGATCGGGTACAAATCCTGGATGTACTTGACTGCGCAGGACTTACAATGGGGGGATACTTTGCGACGATGGAGGCCTTCTGTCCGCATGTGTTCAAATATCTGGAGGAGAGCAACTATATCGATCATCTTGGTGAAAGATGTCTCCGAGATAACATCATTGCGACAATGCCTGGACTGATCTACCGCATTTCTGCAACGGATGCAATTCGTAGGCTTCCTGCTCTCTACTTCCTTCTGCTTGACGAAAGCACGTTGCGTCCCTTTCGAGTATCTGTTCAAAGCAAGTCTCTGAACCTGAGTGACTTTGGATCAGTTTTAATCTCGAATTTCGGGAAGAAGCCCACGCCGAAGACAAAAAACATTCTCCTGAGCAGATTCGGCTACGACAGTCCGTTCGATTCAGAATCTGACGATGAAGCATGTGAGCGAATGTGATAATACGCCCGAGCACTCGGCCATTCTTTGTCATGATAGGACATGGTGTACTGGACGATCAGGATCAGGAACTCAAGCGAGTTTTGCCGAATCTTTTTCAGTCTGACCTAACCGGACTGGAGGTAGAGGCTATCTATCAATATACAATACGAGCGCTTTCGCGGCTACAAGTGGAATTCGCCCAGATGTCACTCCGTGCTTGAAACACGAGAGTCAGTCGCAATCAGACACCAGATCTTGTCTTCTCGTACCGAAGAGTTGCGAGAGAAGTCGGGAACATGTATCTTTAACGGAGCGAAAAAACAGTGCAACCTGTAAAATTCAAGAAGCCTCACCCTGCCGCAGGCGCGAATATCTTGTAAACATGCCTTTTTCTCTTCCTGCAGAACCTGGGTTCCGGTCAAGAAATTTCTGCAGAGCACTGCAGCTCCTTATCATGCCTTCCGAAAAGAGATGGCGCTGCTAAAGGCGGAGCGTTTGAGACTACTGGAAAAGTTTTGGTGTAGAAGGCTCGACGAGTCCACATTATTCTCTTTGACGAGGTTGCGAAGACGGAAGAAATGATTTTCTGTACTTGTACTCACTACTCCATTTCACGCTTGTTTCGCGGGCTGCACTGGCGATCCACCTGCTGCCAAGAGCATCTTTGGACTTCGAACGCTCATCGCGGCGTTCCCGCATCGTGTTCCCATGCGTATCTTTGCTTTCGCCACGGCAGCGTCATTTCTCCCTCGGCAGTTGCCGTCATCATCACCTGCCAGATGCCGATCGACAAATCGCAAGAGACCAACCACCTGTCTCACTCCGCCGGCCAGCAGCGTCCCATCCGATGCCTCAGCGGCAAACAACAAGTTCCGTGCGCCGCGCGGACAAGTCTTCCTCGTAGGCACAGGCCCCGGCGATCCTGGGCTACTAACGCTGAAAGCCGTGCACTTACTGCGGACCGCTCAAGTAGTCCTTTACGATCGCCTCGTCTCCGACGATATTCTCTCCTTTATCAACCCCTCAGCGGAGAAGGTGTGTGTAGGAAAAGGGCGAAATCTCGGGACGGGGAGCCAGAGATCGATACAGGAGCAAATCGCGTACCACGCGTCTCTGGGCAAGCGAGTTGTGCGGCTGAAGGGCGGAGACCCCGCCATTTTCGGGCGGCTGGGCGACGAATTGAGCTATTTGCGTGGGGAGAAAGGGATTGAGGCGGGCGTGGTGCCGGGGTTGACGGCGGCCTCAGGTGCCGCAGCGAGTCTTGGTTTTCCATTGACGCACGGCGGTGTGTCTGAGGAACTGCGGTTGATCACCGGGCATAGTGGGAGGGATAAGCAGTTTGAGATTGCGCAGGTAACGGAAGGCTCTACGCTCGTGGTTTATATGGGATTGCGGGAGATGGGGGCGACGCTCGAGACGTTGCAGAAGCGAGGGGCGCGTAAAGACCTGCCAGCAGTGGCGGTTCAGGGCGCGACGACAGCTGCCCAACGCGTGGTCTGGGGCAGAGTAGAGAACCTGGCCGCTAGAGTAGAGCAGGTTGGGCTGAAGAGCCCGACCGTCGTCATTATCGGAGAAGTTGTGCGCATGGCACATGAGTGGGAAGAAACTGCCAAGTGAAGAGATACAGTTGTGAGAGACCAAAACCTTCTACCGCAAAGAAGGCTCTGTTTGAAGCAAAACTATTAAAATGTTTCTTAACTGCCATAGCTGATACAGCAACGACGCAACGACGCAATGACGCAACGACGCAACGACGCAATCCCTTATCTCAAAACTATACGGAAAGGCACCCGGGCGGCCGACGCAACTACACAAATTGACGCACCTGACACCGAGGTAAGCGGCACAGGCTAGCGACCTTCGTAGTTCTTCCAGGTCATACCCTTTCTCGGCGTATCCTCTGGAATCGGTCTAAGATAGCTGGGCAAAAGGTCGTCTGTTGTCTTCGGGGTAGCAGGGACCGGCGTAGGGGTAAAGGCGCTCGGTGTGCTAGTAGGCGGCTTAAAGGTTTTCATTTCGGTAAACTTGTCCTTCACAACCATGCTATTTTCTTTGTTCACGGCGTCCATGACCTCCTTCTTGATCTGCTTTGCGCTCTTCCCTGCCTTGGAGTCAATGGCGGCTTGCTTGACGGCTTCCACGCCACCAACATTACTGACGTAATTCTTATCATCCGAGAAAGGACTAATGCCCAGGGCCGACACCTTGACGGTAGCAATGCTAGGCGGCTTGTAGCCTGGCTCGCCTGCGACCGGCTTCATGGTGAGCGCGTCCCGATCCTGTCTGCCAACGCCCGCTCGCTCTGGGGCGCTCTTCAAGAGATCCTCCTTCAGCAAATCGAGACCGCGTTTGACCCTCGAGTCGTCGTCTCCCGCAACGACAGGAAGGTCATTCGCGGCCTTGGCGGGTGACTTGGAGGCTGCACTGTCCTTCGGCAGCGGGGCGGAGCCGGGCTCGCCCGGCTGGGGAGACATGAAGGATGTTTCCGCATCAGTCGACTGTTCGGGCTTCTTGGCAAACGGGTTCCATTGCATGAACACGGATGCGACGGAGGGACGAGTGGCGACGCGGAGCGGCGGGCGTGACGAGGTGACGGCGGCGCGCGAGGACGTGAAAGTCGTGGCCGGGGCCGGTGTGGTGAAGGCAGGAGTGGGACTCATGGCGGTGGGCGGGGTTGGGCGTTGTGGAGGCGATGCGATGAGGATAGAGACTGTTGAAGGTGCGGAGAAGCCGCCTTACCTATATTAGAAGGTACCCCAAGGCTAGGCGGGAGAGGAAGGCTCTCGTCCACAAAAGCATCTCGGGGATCTGCCGAGCTGAATCCCGATCCATAACCCTTGACCGGATTAGGCTTGCTGCACGGCTGCACGCAGCGGCAGTTAAAATCTCTGAGCCACAATTCAGATTTTTCCTGCTCGCAATTACCTCACGTCAAATTACTTTCATCCCATTGTAATTGACTGACTCACTGAGTAATGCATCTCGCAGTACTGTACACGTAGTGCTTTTTATGAATAACGCATCCTCTTCATTCTCCATTCCCTAACAATCCCCTCGCCTGCCCTCCCTGACATGTCCCGAACAACACCATCAACTCCTCACAACTTCCGCCAACGCCGCCGTTCCCGCGCGAGGCACCGTCTGTTTCCTCGGCACGTGCCTCCGCCCAAACCGCCATGAGCGCCTGCAACCCTGCGCCACTCTTGTGTCGCGCCATCCACTCCCAACTGAACGCCATCCCCCCGCTTCCGCCTCCTCCCCAACCCACTTTGTCCTCGCTCTCTAATCCTCGTCCAACTTTGCGCTGTATCTGACCGTCATGTGGCTACCGCCGCGTGTCGGCGCCGCAGAGGCTGCTCTGGCCACCGTTGTTGTGGGCGGCGCTGCGTTGGCAGCTTCCCCGACCCGCCCCCGTCCCCTCGTCAATAGCGCAAACTCCGCCGAACAGAGCCCCGACCCCGTGCACTCCTACAACCTCATGCCCTCAGCTGCCGACGCCTTTCTATCGGAAGCATGGGCAGCCCTCAGACGAGCCGTCATGGCCGCCGTAACGGTTTTTGACGACGTCGAGTATGATGACCTCACGCCCTCCTCCTCAAATGCAACTGACATCGTCGAAGGCAAGGAGCCTACTTTATACAGCCTACACGACTGGTGCTCACAATTTCCTATCGACGACTCCGCCTCCGGCCTTGCCCTCGCCTGTTGCCAGCCCAACCAACAGCATGTCGCGGCCGCAATGCGGCACCATGCAAACTGGGTCGACGCCGTACCAACTCCACCCGATCATCAGCTTGTTGCCGAACAGCCCGCTTTACAACCACACCATCCCCAAACAAACGCCGAAACGTCTGACAACCGTACCTCCCAAAACCCCGCGCTTGCAGACCGCCTCTACATGCTGCGTTCACAGTTCAAAGTCATTTTCGAACAAAACGGCGGTGCAGACTGCGTAGCCCGCATTAAGGAGATTGGAGATGACGCCCAGAACGAAATGAGGCAGTCTATGGATTCAGGCACACGCATTGCTTCCGAGCTGGCAGATGCCAAACTCTTTCTGGACGATGTTCTACGCAGGGTTAATTCTATGGCCAAAGCGAGCGTCACGGAAAACCACTCTGCCTATGTACATGCCGCATCGGCCGCAAATGCAGTCATCGACGAGACAAAACAGAATGGCCGCTCATCCACAGAGCGAAGAGCGGACCTCATAGTCGATGACAGCAGGTTGCTCGCCGTTTTTGCGACAAAGATATGCGCGAGCACTCTCCGCTGTCTTGAGAAGGGTGATCAACGCACCGCGCCTTGGAACGAGCGAGCAGAACGCATCACAGACGTCACAGCAATAGGTATCACTCAATTGCGCGCGGTGTCGCGCACGTTCGCACGCGCGATATCCGAGCTGCAAGCTTCGTTACAGGACGACGCACTCCTTAACGAAACTAACACCTCTTGGCCCGTCGAGATTCGCACCTTGAACGAAGTCGCTATCGAACATGTTTTGCGATGTGTTGCGCTCGCCATCGCAGCTGTTCAAAGTGAAATTATCGAACGAGCCTGCCATTGCACCAAAGACAGGTGATTCTCCTCACGGTTGCCGATAAAAATTAGAGACACTCACTTTGTCCTCGTCTTGGAACCGACCTGGGCGCCCGGTGCCATCACCGTTGACTGACCATGCCTTTCGTACGCATCCAATCTACCGAATCTTTCAACGCCTCCCGTGCTGAGACACTTTCCAGTAAAAACCGGTCACGCGCTTTTGCCCCGTTAAACCAGTGATACCTGGTTGCAACCGCGAAACGGTCCAACGTGAAGCTTGTTGACCCCATGATTTGCCCCACCGCACAGACCATCCACAGAACCCATATCGGCAAGCACAACCAAGGCGCATATCGCTTGTTCCCTCCATACTCTGCGCATGTGGAGAGCATTTCCTGGATAGATATGTTTTCGCCAACCACCAACCAACGTTCCCCCCTCCAAATCGGGTCATTTGCTTGCACTTCCAATATTTTCTTGAACATCTCTACAAGGACCCGCACGTGCAAAACGTTAACACCGCCTCTTGTGTACAGCGGCCACTTGCCGTTGGCGGCCTTAACTTGTGTCTTTCTACTCGACTTGCTCGCATCTCCAGCCCCATACACGTTACTTGGGCACAGGACAGTGGCCTTCAGCTGACCATCCTTCGCTGCTGCTCGCACAATCTCCTCTGCCTTCCTTTTCGTTCTTAAATATCCGACGTTCTCTGCCGTTTTGTCCCATGCTGCGTCCTCGGTTAATGGGGCCTCATCCGGGCTTTTATTGGATCCAACTGCGGCCACTGTCGAGCAAAGCACGAAGCGGGCTGCCGGCGAGTGGGTAATAACATGTTTTAGCAAGACTGCGGTGGCAGTGACATTTACTTCCTCCATAGCTTTGGCGTCCGCGGATGTGTAACTGATCAATCCTGCTAAGTGCAAAACTGCAAACCAGTCACACGATGAAGCTATGCGCTGTATTGCAGCACTATCGGTTACATCTGCGATGTGATGATACACTCCAGGTGTCTTTGCCTCTGGTTCTCTACGTGAAATCGTGTGCACGGTATAGCCCGACGACACTAGCATCGGTACCAGATGCGATCCAATGAACCCTGTAGCTCCCGTCACGAGAACTTGGCCTGACATTCTTGTGGAACAGGTCTTCGAAACGAGCAATCGAGAACGTTCAAAGCGCGACGCTGGAAACGCGGCGAAAGTGACGAACCTTGACATTTTTCCCATACCCTAATCTATCAGTCACGATGAGGGCAAATTTCTAGATCACAGAAATATTTACAGCAAGCCATTTCAAAGAGCCTCTCATGAACACGAAATATGATTTTTCACTTTACCGCAGTCTTCTCGCTGACCTCTCAAAACACAAAAGCGGCGTAAATGGCTCCATAGCTTCATTCATCGGGAGGGCACATCCAACGTAGGCTGCACTGGAAGATGCTGATGTAGCAGCATCCAGTGGGGCTTGAGTAATTCTCGTTTACTCAACCAACTCCTCCCTTTTGAAGAGACGAAGGTTACCCATGAGTGTTGTCCATATTTCTCTACGCATGGCTTCCAGAGTACCCTGACTAGAATTGCGACACACGAGGAAGAGTAATAAAGCTTGAATTTGGCCGTCCTCTTTAGTTTATAATTGGATATGGATTTGGGTGTACATGCTTAGGGGATGTTGCGAGTCCACTCGATGAAGCAGTATCAGTTAATATGTGCATTGGTGCATTTTTAGCCCTCTATGCCATCGAATATACGAGTATCGTTTTTTGCGTTCAATGAGAGAATGGCCACCCAAGGAAACGGATAGTCAAGTTTAGAGTCGACCAGTATACTTTCTGGGATTATACGTAAATTTGCAATCAGATGCAAGCAAATTTCTGCACCTCATTGGCATTTTCCTTCACGTTAAAATTACAAGAGCACGCTCCTCTCGATTGCCTTCCTTCTCTCGAGTATGTTTGTTTGATGAGAAGTATCTACACAAAATCTCGACTCACTGGATCCGAGGAAGCAAACGAACCTGAATCTTTTTGTGATAACGGATCATGATTGTGCCCGGTTTATTTTAAACAAGAGAGGGCGGCCGTTTACACCAACGTCATTCGAATAATCTGAGACCATCAGCAGACGCACGCAGAAGAATGTAGATGAAAGTTCTTTCTATCGCTGGTACCGTAGCCTGCTCTTTTTTCGGCGACCCCCCTTCAACATTCATTTCTTCCGCGCCTTCTCTGTCCACTCATCAAATATTAATCGGATATTATCTGATGTATCTGAAATAATGCAAAGATACAGCCAGAAGGACTGGTCGATTGTGCCCCATCGAATGCTCTTGTGGCGCCTTTTTGGAATAGTATAATTCTTATGATATTCCATTACGTGGTAACCATGTCAGGTTATGCACACGCTCCATTCCGTGCATTGCGTATGTCGTGCTGTGCCGTACAAGCCCTTTCCAGCACACTGGCGGCCGCTCGAGCAGCTTGCTTGGACCGAGTGGTACGTACGCTTCTAACAACCGCGCTTTTTAGACACAATACCAAAAGTACGGTTCTTTTATGAGCTTCACACGCTGTTATTGTCCATCCACCGACACCCCTATAATGAGTGGAACAAGGTCACCATGCAAGACTCCGTAGAATACAGGAATGTTGGACACAATCAAATATGGCATTCATGCCTTTTCATTTTGTTTTGTGCTTGAAAAACGTGAAAAGTAACAGCCTGGCGTCGGTGAGGATGTATTCGGCCGTATCTGTAATCTTCAGGTAAAGATTAGGTGCTCTACGGATTACAGATTCCCCAGTGTTGTCAGCGACATGTCCAATGGAGAAGGCAGACAAAGTCTCGGAATCTTGCCGGCCCGTTGCATGTTGCCGATAATAGCAGGTTTGCATACAGCGGAAAACCCCCGTGTATACAGTAGTACCATCCTGCAACTCTAGAAAGTCACAAGAGAGTCCATGGACCGTATTGAAAGAGACATAACGAATGTATATGGTCCTGAGTGTTCCTGTTCGAATATTCCAAACCCAGTAACTCTAAGGCCACGGTCTCTCACGCTCAGACCTAGCAACCGTTTTTACTATCCGGTGCGTAGGGCCATTGATTTGCTTGGCGTTGTTGGGGATGAATATAGAATATCCCTCAACTCTAAGCTGGACACGTCGGGCCGCTCGCAGTATTGTTGCCGCAGGTCTATAAACACACAGCGAGAAACTTGAAGAGCTGTGACAAGCGAAAAGTTGGTTTTGTGCCTTCGCGGCCAGGCGTTTTAGGGTACTGGGAACTATGGAGAGGAGAGCGACTCTGTCCGCCCAAAGGGTTCCAGCGCCGGATTTCGAGAGCGGGGACATGCTACTGGCAGGGAGACTCGGATCAGCATATGGGCAGCGCAGTCAATGGTGGGAACTCGGAGATGGGCAATTGTCCTTGAGCGGATGATTGCGAATCATACGAAATGTTGCGATGGTGGAACGCCAGGAGGTTCCACTTGTCCCCACACCACGGACAGACACTATTCGACACCCGCGATATGTAGCCCTGTCAACATCCAACACGGAGTCTTTACATGTGACGGCCCAGGCACAAGTACTGTACTTTAGAGAGAGACAAGTGAATAGGTTGGACGAGGTTGCTTCTGGAACTAGTCATGCCGACACAGAGCGGTCATGACAAGTTGGCAAGAGCACTACTACCTCGTCCTTACAGTTTGCACCGGACTGTGGCCAGGACGTTGTTGGCAAGACATTTTTGAAGGGTACAGGCGCAGTGAAAGTTTACAACACGGCACGCGGCGGTTCGGGAGGAAACGGCTGAAGGGAAGTTTGTGCCAGCGTGACGCAGATGGGTTTGGTTTAGATGTGGGATGCTGTGATGAAGCATCGAGGGCACGCGTGATGGTGGAATTGTTGGTGGTCTGGCAATGACGAGGTGATGTGATACAGTTGAGAGACGGGAGTGCAGGTGGTGTAGTACTTCTGTAGTACTGTACTAGGAGTATTTACCTTCAGCGGACGACGATGGCACGGCGAGGTAACGGTACACTTCACGTACCGGAAAGATATGGAGTGATTAGAATAGACAAGGTGCTCACACCTGGCGCTCACACCTTGTACACACTCTTCCTCGACTCACATGAGTCGAGGAAGAGTGTGTACATACTTGGGTATGTGTAGTCGCAGAAGGGAGCATGCAAGTCCCGTTGTCTACTCGATGATTGGCAGTCGCGTGGATCGATGGGGGCGAGGCGCCGCGTTTGAAGCCGACGCCACGTCGGCAAGGAGGTGCGTGGCGTGCGACCGCGTTGCAGTAGGAAGGCCAAAATCGTGTTGCCAAAAAAGGCTGCCGCCTTAATGGCACCTCACACCTCACAAAAATTCCCTCCTTCCCCCCGCGTCAAATTTCACCCTTTCTCCATCGGCCTTTTACGTCCCCCCAATTCCCCCCCTTCCCCCGCCCCCCCCACCGCCCTCCCCCCGACCCTCCCCTGGCCCGCTCGTTTCGTCCGCATCCTCGCTCCCGCAGTCAGCCATTCAGCCTCTGCGCCCTCATGGAATTCCCTCCGGCCCCGCCCCCTCCCCCTCCCCTGCCACTCCCTCGCCCTCCGCCAAAGCGCGTCAGGCATCCTCTTCCCACAAACATTCTCCAAGCTGCAGCCGTCACCGCCTCACTCTCCGCACGCCGCTCCGACCTGCACTCTCCCGACGAAACAGACGACGAGCGCGAGCCGCTTACCAGGCGCCCTTCAGCCCCTTCTATTGCACCTGCTCCTAGCATACACAACTCTCCGGCTGTGCTCGAAACTCTCGCAAACCTCATTTCTCGCGTCTCCGTCGCTGCAGGTATTCCGGATGGAGGTGACCCCCCACCAATGCCCCCACGACCAGACCTCACCTTCAACTGGATGGTCGAATCCCTAGAGAAAGTGCACAACCAACTCCAGCGCCGGCAGCGCAATCACAGTCACCGTGACGACTTGTTCACCGGCTTCCCACGACGCAGGTCGAGGCCTATCGGCTTCTCCAAGCACGATGAGTCCCTCATTGATAGCTTAGAAGGAGTCGAGGATGCCAAAGTCGAGAGCGATGATGACGTTGGAGACACAAACTTCTCACTATTCGACGGCAAATTCCTACCCCGCCGTTCTTCATCGAAGAGGTCTCGCCTTCTGAAAGGCGGTAGGAGCGCGGGAAATATGTTTCCCATGGCTCCTCTTCCAGAGGGCGCAGAGGATGACGGCAATCACTTATTATCGGGCCGCTCATCTCAGGCTCATATTGATGGTCGCCCTCCTTTCCGACTCCCGATTGATTCCGCCGCCAACTCATATCTCACGCAACTTAGCTCTAAAAGTTTAGGCACGGCAGCCAATAAGCTCCATGCCGACTACAGCAAAATATTTTGTAGTGAGGACGACCCTCTAGCACCTGGCGAGAGTTCAATAGCAATCGCTGGCGGTGCTTTGTTCAACCCAGAACCGCTGAATCACCATTGGACGATTGGTGAACAAATTGGAGAAGGCGGATATTCAACCGTGCATTTGTGCACTTGGAGAGATATAGTTCTAGATGAAGAACACCCAGAGCATGGCTTGGCTGCTGTCAAGATCATTCGAAAGGGCCATGACGGAGTTTATAATGAAAAAATGGTTAGTCGCGAGGTCTTCAGTTTCCGTCTTCTTGAAATGGCTGGCGGTCATGACAACATTGTTGAAATGTACGAGGTCTACGAAGATTGCGAGAATGTTTACCTGGTCATGGAACTCTTAGCAGGTGGAGAATTGTTTCAGAGAATATCGGAGCGTGGCCAATACACAGAGCGTGACGCAGCCAATCTTGTCGTGTCTATGCTTGCAAGTCTCGCATGTTGTCATCGTCTCAACCTTACGCATCGCGACGTGAAACCGGAAAACTTCGTCTTCGGAGATGTTGAAGGCGATGGCTCTGACCTTAAGCTTACAGATTTCGGAATAGCTCACTACTCAGAGGATCCATCTGCACTATGTAAGACTCTCTGTGGAACCCCGCTTTACGTTGCGCCAGAAGTTTTGCTGCGACAACCATATGGCCCCGAAGCAGATGTTTGGTCTCTTGGGGTCATTGTACATATTATGCTGGTAGGATATCCGCCATTTGATGACAACGACATTGTACAGCTCGTCAAAAAAATCAAGTATAGGCCTGTCAAGTTTGAAGGGCAGGAATGGAGTCTTATCTCGGAAGAAGGAAAACAGTTCCTGGCTAACTTGCTCGACAAAGACGCCTCCAGTCGTATGACTGCCCAACAAGCGCTAGAGCATGACTGGTTGAAAGACAGTTGTCAAGCCGCGACCAAAAATGTCCTGGGGACTGCTCAGTCAAACATTAAGTCCTTCGTGAATCGGAAAAGATGGCGGCTTGCGATCACTGGCGTGAAGGTGCTGAACAGATTCCATAACGCCATTGCAGAACTTGCACGTGAGGAACAAGAAGCGGCAAACAAGCAAACACCCCTAACAAAAGCTATGGAATCGGACCTAGTGAGAAGAGACGGTCGGGCAATTCATATGGATCAAGGTTCGATCATGCGTCGTGCGTCATCCAGTTCAAGCAGTGAAGAACCTTTCGTGGATTTGAGGCGAGTACCGAAGAATATCACTCATCCCTTGAAGATATCAGCTCGGCGTCCTCCGATGCCCCTGCGATACACTTCCATTGATCGGAAGCGAAGTTCTAGTGTTGTGGTTCAAGGAAGTCCCAGACCTCGACATACTCCTGGCCCCGACAACGGGGCTTCAATGGTTATTCTTCCTATTGATCCTGCATTTGAGAGCAGTGGAGACTTGCATAATTTCCCACGAAAGAGGGCACAGCGTCCAATACCCTCAAGACCGACATACCCAATAGCTGGCAGAATGGGCTCGTCACCACACGTAAGAAATTCACTCATGGTGAATTCTTCAGAGGCGGATAACAACAAAGTGATGAGATCTCTCTCCCGAAATGAAGGGTCTGTCGTTCGAAAGATGTCTAGTCATGCCAAAAAGCTTGTTGGTAGGGGCAGACGAGTATTCGTTGGTAGTTCTGCAGATAGGCCACCCGTGATGCTGGAGATGGGGGAGCAGCGGAGACAGAAGAAGTTCAGTTGGTTTAAGTAGCTTCGCACCTTTCAATTCGCTGATTTTTCCTTGAGAGGCATGGTAAGGTCGCCTTGCAATTCTTCTCCGTAATCGTCCTCCACGGTATCCGTCTAAAACTACCCACCAGAAACGCAATTTGCTTCCCGCTCTCTCAACAAACCTGTTTCCGTCTCAATGGCTTTGCGTCGACATTGCATTGCAGATACCTTTTCAAGTTTCCTACAGCTCTCTCCATGCATGTATCTCCCGATCGTTTATTCTTTGAGACACAGCAAGGCCCTAAATCCAGAGCTTTGACGGATGGTCCGGGTGACCACCTTTGGGCATTTCGTGTGGACGGTAAGCAACAGAGCAATCCGTGCTTTTCTTAGAATACCCACACTTTGTCGGTCATAATTGTTTGTGAGACTCATTCAAGCGGCAGGGATGAGCAGCTGAGGTTGGATTTCATCAATTTGTTCCGTGGAGGTTGCGCTAGCAGAGGAGGCGAGTACTACTTCGAAACTTCTGGGGCAGTTTCACTGGGCTAGTCCAATGACACAATGCACTGGTCTTGATTGCTTGATCCAAATTAGTTCGATCCAAGCATCCCTCACGAAAATCCTTCACAGGCAAATCCAAGTGGCTGTCAATAACAATTGCGGATGAGACTGCACCTCCGCTCCCAATACCCAAAAGTACGCTAAGGTTGGAAGTGCAGATCGGCATTATAGAACATGCAGGTTGTGCGTCCCAGCGGTTTCAGTGCAGTCTTAATTATTTCCCGCCTCGATATACCGAAGTCTACATCCTAATATGATAAATTGGAGGAAGCCAAAGCAGAGACAGGCCATGCATACCTGCAAAGTTGTAATAACCTGCGCGTACCGTGAATGCCCAACTGCACAGTTTCTCCTCAAGCAAGTCTCCCTCGTCCCTATTCACCTACCCACACTCAAAAGAACAGGTATCCCGAGCAGTGAAGAATGCGAAGGACGCCTGCAGGAGACACTTCAAAGGATTCAGGAACTCTTGTCGCCAGATCGACCCCTTGCAGTTTACAGATGCGAAGACAAGGACGTGATATAAGTAGTTCATACGCCATTTGTTCGAGACTTGGAGGGGCCCCGCATCTCTACTGCTTCATTCTATATCGCGATCCTGTTGGCACTCTTGGTTGTGGTCGGATTAATTTACATTGTTCGCCTCACCAAGAAAGGAAACTACCGCGGAAGGTGAAGATCAGTTGTTCGATTTCGCGAAATTCCTAGAGATATTGCTCTAGACGGGAGAATAGTCTCTTGAATATTAATGCACAGATAGCGAACAATGGCGAGACCGGTAATGAATACACTAACACAGGCAGTGTTGCGACGGACTGGAATGCAAATGACTAGAGATATCTGGAATCTTTGTCCAACACGTCTGTTCTAACTTTGCCCGTGAACGCAACACAACCGTGCGTACCGGAAATACAATTGCAAACATACTGTACCAATACATTATTCGTTTACATCGGCGTTTGCATCTTCAAGTAGGTGCCACACTTCATAAATCGGACGTCCCCTAACAGTGTTCTTCACAAGAAACCACTCGGAGGCTGGTGTTGCGTAGTCGACGGTGTCAAGTGCCTCTCTCAGCTCGCGCACGCGACGATCTAAGAACTGTGATGACATCTCCTTCGAATCAATCGTAACAACTGCAACCAAGTCAACCGTGCAAGAATTAGACCCCTCAGCCCGATCCGGTGTTACCTCCCACACCTTTAACGCATCTTGACGATCCACCGGCTTCAGATATACACCTTGTCGGTCCCCTATACCGAACTTGCGCACTTCGCAAGCCGCTGTGCGCCGCAGCAGTTCAAACCCTCCAAGGTCCAGTGGCGATATCCTCCCTGGCTTGCATTGGGAAACCAAATCCACTACAGCCTTTGGTGCGAAGAATGCGGAGTCCTCAAGCGAGTCCCAGTAATCGATATGCTCGTAAACCTTCCCCTCGTCATTGACAACGTAATCACTCTGCCCCGTAAACGCGACGCAAGGCTTCCATGGCAAATTCGCGACCATCTGGAGAGCCCATCGCGTTCGCACAGTAGAGAGCTGCGGGCCTATGACGGCGACATCGTAGAGAGTGAGCTTTGCGTCGGTGAAGACAGGGGAGGAGTTGAGGAAGTTGATGTTAGATGCGTATCGAGATACGCCGCGAAACTTGTTGAGGGGGTCTTCAAAGGTGACGGTGTCGGTGTAAAGAGAATAGTCGGCAGTGCTTGGGTCCTCGAAGAGGGCGGGGAGTTCTTCTCGCAAGCGGGTGATGACGGCTTTGACCGCTGGAGAGGGCTCGCGCTTGCTTGTCGGGGAAAGGGCTGTTGCGCGGGGGGCGCAACGGGGAGGGGTTCGCCCTGATGAAGGAATGCGAAACGTGGGAGATACGAAGGCAGACATGGTGCACGGAAAGCTATCTCCAAGCGGAAGGATTTCGACAAGGAAGGGCTCTATCACCTGGCGCAGCAGTTGCCCTGTTGCAAAGACAGGGTTTAATGAACCAAGTCTACAGTATGCAACGCGGAAGCCATGGACTGGGTGGTTGCAATTTGCAGTTAGGATGCTCAGATTTAATTTTGTTGACTATGCACCACAAGTACATGCGCCGTGGGGATGAAAACGCCTCCCTCCCATCAAAACATCGAATGAAATTGCTTCACAAAAAACAGGTGGCATGGGAAACTGCCGAACACCTGCCACGATTTCATTCGAGGAGAAGAATGAGGAAACCCCTCGACCCGTCAGTGCTCTCCATCGAGTGTCGCTTGGAGGCTCAACCGTCTGCTCAAATTTCGACACTCTTCCCACACTCGTCGCAATCTCCCGACCCATCCCTCTTTCCCTTCTTCTCTCCACCCACCTTTGCCAGCTCCGACGCCTCGCCATCCGGCCCCCGCCCCATTCCATTCCGCAACCATGTCCCTCGCCTTCGCCACCTTCGCCGTCAACCCGCCGCGGCGGGCGCGCACCTCGCTCACGCGTTCCCGCCACTCCTTCTGCCCTCGCCACAGCTTTGCCACATCCCAAGCCAAGCCCCTCGCGGGCACCTACATCCGCAACCCACGCCCTCCGAACCCCCGTCTCCAATTGAACATGGTCGCCGGCGCCGATAGCCCGTCACCCGACCCCCCCGGCCCGTCCGGGCTCCTGCAAGCCTTTGTCAAGTTTACCCGTCCCCACACGATCCGCGGCACGATCTTGGGGTCCTTCGCCGGCTGCGCGCGCGCCCTGCTCGACTCGACCAAGCTCATCAACTGGGCCTTGTTACCGACGGCCGTGTTAGGCATGCTGGCCCTGTTGCTGGGAAACGCGTTCATCGTTGGCATTAACCAGATCTATGACGTCCGCGTCGACAAGATTAACAAGCCGTTCTTGCCACTCGCGGCGGGCGAGATGAGCATTCGTTTGGCTTGGGCGATTGTCTTGTCTAGCGCGTTTACGGGGCTCGCCATTGTTCGCTTGTGCTTCTCCCGCCTGATTTTCGGCTTGTATGCGTTTGGGATGTCATTTGGAGCCTTGTATTCCGTACCACCCTTTCGTTTTAAGCGCTACCCTGCGCTGGCGGCTATCACCATTTCGTGCGTGAGAGGGTTTCTAATGAATTTTGGCGTTTATCATGCCACCAAGTCGGCTCTGGGTATTCCTTTCACGTGGTCACCCCCAATTACATTCCTGGCCGTCTTCATGACTATATTCGCATGCGTTATCGCACTGTCCAAGGATTTGCCAGACATGAAGGGGGACCTAGCTGAGGGAGTCCCAACTTTTGCTACGAGAGTGGGTCCTAGGAAAATTGTCAACATCGTCGTTGCATTGCTAGGGATTAATTATTTAGGAGCTATTGCCACAGCCGTGTTTTCTCCTGCCGGTGCATTTCGTCGAGTAGTCATGGGTCTGGGACATCTTGTATTGGGCGGAAGGCTGTTTTTGTATCAAAGAAACATTGACCCAAATAGTCAAACCTCAATCAAGGACTTTTACCGTTTCATCTGGCAACTTTTCTACTCAGAATATTTATTGTTTCCTTTCATTTAGTGTGAGGATCCCAGCCAGGTTGACAGGTTGTACATAAAGGCAAAGGGTGTCTTCTCTAGTTCGGCTGATAGGATAAATGGTACGGGTGGCTGAAGCATTGCCAGATCAAGCCACCACGAGGACCTACTGCGCTAGGCAATACGTCACTAGGTTCTGTGCCAGAGAGCAACTCTTCCAGATCCTGTTGTCCAAAGGTTTCGCTGTTCTCTTGCTCTAAATCGCAGCGCGGCCGGTCCTACGAGCGATACTAGAAATTCTGCCTTACTCGGGCCACTCGCTTTTGACTTTGGGACATGTCTATTTCAAGCCAGTTGAACAAACGGTTCTTGCGCACCGAGGGAGTATACGGTTTCCATTTGCTGATGTCACAAGGCCGACCCTGTACTGCCGCATTCGCCGGGAATATTCCATCTCAACGTAGTCTTTGCTGGCAGCTACTGACAACGACCGACGACGTCCTCATGGGAAGAGAATTCACGCCTCTGCGATCGCAAAGTATGTACCACCTGTATGTGATAGTTGTTAACACCACACCACCCGCCAGATGCAACCGACCAGTTGCATGCCACTTTGCATGAAGATGAGTGGCGTTGTAGAAACCGTGGTCCCCCCTCTCCCAGTCCCCGATTGATGTCGCCGGGCAAAGCATCACAAACGATGCATCGCGGAAATGTCGTAGTTTCATGAAACTTATACTATTCCCAAGGCGGCGCCGAACCCAGACGAAGAAAAACTCGTCCCAACCCAAGTCACCACGACCAAAGCCACGGAGGCCATAACGCCTCCAAACGCGTAGTAAACAAATGTGGTGTCCCCTCCATTGGGCAGTGCCAGCACCGGTTTACGAGCATTAACGGGACAGTCTTGCCCGTATACGCCAAATATGCCTGGTTCTGAAGATCTCAACAGAATGGTCGAACTCATGTCTCTGGACAAGGTGGAATTCACAGCCGTGAAATTCTTTTGATAGTCACGTGCGAGAAGCTTTGGTTCGAATGGTCTGCCCAATGCTTGCACCATATATCCGTCTGCGGATAGGCATCCTCTTATGGACGTTACCCCGAGCTTAATTATTGAGATGTTCATCTTGTAGCACTCGGGGATTTCCGGAAGAGCTAAAAGACTTCCGTCAGTTCCCAATGTTGTGACATTCGTTGTCATGAGAAACTTGCTATCGGTTCGAGCGTCATCCCCTCCAAGTCCGCTTAACCACACAAAATCAAGCGTTTCCATAATTGTAAACAGTCGTTTTTGGAGTGGGTCGATCTTGTAGGCTCCTTTCTTTGAACCCTCAGAAGTCTCAAATACATTGTCGCACCATGAGAAGCTTGACTGTTCTCCTCGAAGCCCCTCTGCTTGATCTGGATTGCACAGGACAGCAATTGTAAATGATGAATAAGACGGCTTCTCAATCAAGTTTTCGTAACCACTAAGTACATCGAAATAGGACTGTTGCTGAAGCCTTCGAGATCTCACCGTCTCCTTTGTAATGATATAGTCGTCGATGTCAGGAGCAGCAACGCCGCCCGGTACGAGCGAACTGAGATGTCGAACCAGTCCGCACTGTGCGTCTCGGGCGATCACAGTTGTTAAATGCTCTTCTTGAAGACGATACAAATCAACCAGCAAACTTCTTGAATCGAGAGCGGAACTCGAAGTGAATTGCTGTAATCGTATACGTGTTGAAGCACTAGTCAGTGCGTTTATCACGTGTTTGGCTGATACATTATAGAACGAGAGTAGTTCAGCTTCAAGGTTGTAGGCTTCGTTCACAGGCACATTATAAACGGCTCTGTCAACCATGGATAAAATAGTGTACATGGTTTTCGGTGACGCGAACAACTCGGCATCCATTGCTGCGATTCGACCCGCCGTCTTCACGTAACTCTTGGCTGTCATCGTTGTTGGAGCCGAGTTTTGTACGATTTGATGCATTGCATCAACTGCTAAATCTAAGACCTTCATATCTTCCTCTGAACTTGCGTACGTGTTATCCTTTCGGACTCTGCTCACCAGAGAAGAGGCCAACAACTCAAAAGTGCCATGATCCCCCTGAAAACGTAGATCACGGAGTTTCTTGTCAAATTGTCCAATACTTGCACCAGTTGAGAGAGCGCTTACCTCAAAGTTTTCTGAAGTCATAGTCACATTTTGAGCGAAAAAGACTTCATCAAGCAGTGACTTTCCTTGCATGTCCATTAGGCGAGCTACTATACGATACGTGCCGGCTTCTGTAAGCTTAAATTGAACGAAACTGTGCCCACCGCATCCATCCAGACAATACTCCTCTCCTTCGTAACTAACCAAGAAGAAGAAGTAAAGAAATGCATGTGACGAATCCAAGTTGACTTGTGCATATGCTGTATACATTGTTTCCGAATCTCCGAATACAACCGGAAGATCTGGCATCACCAACCTGGGTTTATCAGGGGTTTGCAACAGAAACCGCGCTTCACCCCTTTCCATGCCCGGCTGCAGACTAGATATTGAAATGGATATCTCATATGTCTGGGCAGGACGAAGTGTACCACCCCTCACACCTAGCGGAAGAGTCTGAGTCAATGCAGGTGAGGTGGGGTCCAAGTATCCCGGGTGGATTATCAGATTTGCAGCTTTTTGCAGCATGAGAACACTTGATGGAGGAAAAGTGACGCGGAAGCTCCATGACACGTTTTTTCCATCTGGTTCTATAATAATGTCGCTAAAATGTTCAACCCTTGACCAGTCCACACTTTCTCCTCGATTATTTAGCACCCGGAGATCATCTAGTTTGGCAACTTGAAAGGTGTCTGCAATGATTTCGACAATCTGGTACTTCTCAGGCGACAAGTGGTTCTGAAACCCGACACGAAGAGAATATTGGATGGAAAAAGCTATTGACTCATCCCCGATAGAAATGCTTTTTCTCATTTTCTGCAGGTATGTCATCGGAACAGTGAACGACTTTGCGCCCTTGCTTGGCAAGAGCTCGTTATCGCAATCTCGTGCCTTTGATGTTTCAAACCCAAAGCTTGATACTTTGCAACTCCAAACGAATTGATCGACACGGCTCTTGCTCCCAGAATACTTCTCATCAGGATTGTAGCTCTGCTCCGCCGTCATCAGTAGTTCATCTGAGCTGCTGTGAGTAATCTTTGAGGCTCCATATCCGATGATTGGAACAAGTGTTGAAGGGCGTATAGTGAGAAAGGTGCTGGCACTCCCAAAAACTGTTGGAACCTCCTCCATAAACGCTGTAAGAGCTACTTTGAATGTTCCGATAGCCAAACTATTCTGAGGTATCACATACTCACGGCCAAGCCTAGCAGGAGCGGAGGAACCGTTCACAGCAGATGAAGAGAAGTTTTGATACGAAAACTGCTGAACTACATCTCGGTATGACCATTTGTATAATATCTTTGACGATTGATTGAAGCATTCAGGTCGTGGCGGCATCACAAAAGCAGAAACTCTCACCGGCACATCGGGAATAGCTATGCTCCTCGGACGAATTTGAGAAAGTGTCAATCCAATGATCGGTTCGACTAACTTCTGAACGACAATGTCTGCGGTCAAGGCCTCTCCGTTTACCACGCAACTCACGCTTACACGATACTTGCCAGGCTTGCCACGGAATACTTTTGGCAAGAGGAAAAGCGTCTTGCTGCCAGTCTCAGTTTCTTCACCTTCGAGAATTAGATTAACGTTCTTCGGGTCCGCCAGGTCAACCACGGCCCACGCAAATGATTTCGGCTCTGTGACTCCGGAAGGTAGAGTTGCAATGAAGCGAGAGATTGCACATCCTCCTAACTCATGCTGCTTTAATTTCTGATTGTAGCTTGCTCCATACACAGCGATGCTGAGAGTGAGATTCTCAATTGTGAACGTAAAAGTAGCTGATGCAGAGGTCTCATCGTTCAGGATCACTTCAATTTCATAGTCGTACGCAGCACCAACAGCTTCCCTTGTAGGGCATATAAACGTGATTTGAGTTCCTTCCTCGTTCACGGTTGGCAAGATACCTAACATTCGCAAAGTCTTTTGCCCAAAAATAATTTCGTGGTCTTCACTCGTGGGATCAAAGCCGTCAAAGTATCCACTGAGCGAGATGTTGGTACCCGGCACCCCGAAAGCTGGCTCTACAGTGGCGATTGTTAGTGGGGTAAGATTATAGGCTAGGTGTTCCGGAATTTCGACACTGACGATCTTCGCCTTTCGAGTCCGCTCTGGAAATGAAACGTATAGGCTCCATTCCAGCTGGGCCCCACTCCCAGGCTCTGTGATGTAGATTGCTTCGTACAAGCCATCGCTTCTCCGTCGAAAAGAGCCCTGTATTTCCAGGAAGCGAACATTTCCAACACGCAAGACGCGCAGGTCGGAGCCTTCAACATTGTCCATGACAAACGTCAAGTTCTCGCCACCAGCCCGGCGATACTCCCTGACCGGTTGAATCAACTCAAGAATGGGAGGTGGATCCCCGCCGACGGAAATGTGCAAGATGTTGACAAACTGCTCATCGGCAAGCTGCGCATCGTCCCTCGTCAACAAGTCCCATTCGAAGAGGAGCGTAACGGGACCGTCCTTATAGGACTCATACCTGAGCGAAAATAGGATGATAGTCCCCCCACCGGGCTCACTGACTGTCTCGATAGCTACGCCGCAGGACGAGTTGTGAATCTGCTCGTTCGGGTTAACAATGTTCTTTGTACTGTTTCCAAAGCGCACCGGCGATGTGGCATCCGTCTCTGCGTTTGTCATCATGGCCTCGAGCATGGAGGCGACGTACGCCAGCGACCGACTCGCAGAATCGGTGCCGTCGGGAAACTGAATCTTGATCTTAAACTGAATTAAGCGCTGCACGAGGTTGTCACGATAATTCGAAATGACCTCGTTACCATCGCCAGACAAAATGACCTTCTCCGTTTGCGCGTTCCCCTGCAAGGACGACACGCTCGAACCATCAATCGGCTTTTCCATGTACACAGTAAGTCCGACAATAACAAAAGCCACATCTGTCGAGCAAAGGATCTTATCTGCGGCAGGGGCCTTGGCGACGAGCCTGTACGAGACAATGCCGACCATGCGGTCGAACGTGAAGCTGGCCGACACGTTCTGGCAGGAGGAGGGACCGTCGCCGATAGAAACGCGGTCGAGCTGGACGTCGGACGGGGCGTCGGTGGAGATTCGAAGCACATCCTGGTCGGAGGAGAAGTCGACGAGCTCGAGGTTGCCGACGGATGTGCCGACGGGGCAGAGGGAGAAGGTCTGAAAGTGTTCCACGGAGCCGTTAATCTGGACCAGCTTCCGCACGGCGGGGCCAGTGGTCGAGAGCTGACACGCGGGGGCGACCTGCCGCGAGCGCGGCGGCGGCGAGGGAAGGAAGACGGGGTGGCGCACGGTGCGGGGAGGGGAGTCGGCGGCCGCGCTAACGGATAGCTGGAGGGCGAGAAGAAGGAATGCGAAGAGAAGCATGGCGAAGCGGAGCGAGGGAGCAGAGCGAGAGGCGCAAGTCTGGGCCTGCGCTCGGACGGGGAATGTGCGGGGCGGGAGTGGTAACGTGACAGACGGGCATGACGCGGTACATCAGTCGGCGGCGGGGGGCGGGCGAGGTCGCTGTGGTTTCCAGAGGGGCGGTGGCGCCATGACGGGCGGTGTCGCCTTTGGGTGTCGCCGGTGAGGACGATGGAGAAGAATGTTGCTCCGAGGGGACGGAGAAGGTGCGTGTCGGTTATGAGCAGAATGGGGATTTGGAAAGGGCAGCCAATAGGTTTTCGCGTCTTGGAGGCTCAATTGGAGCTCGAAGCCGACTCCCAGTCTTCATCTCTCCAGAACCCATCGTCGTCCTCCCACTCTGCGTCCACCTCCTCATCCTCCCCCTCCTCCTCCTCCTCCTCCTCCTCCTCCTCCTCCTCCTCCTCCTCCTCAGCCGGCATCGGACTGGTATCCTCCACTGACTCCCGTCTCTCCATCCTCCCCTCACTCGTCTCCGCGCCCTTTCCCCCTCCTTCCACCGCCCACCCGACACAAACCACCACCATCGCCGTGCGCAACCCCCAAATCACCCTCTGCACCCACACCAACCGCCACCCCACCATCAGCGCACTCAGAAGCTCCAGCGCTTCCACGACCGCAACCACGCCCCCCGCAACAACGGCTCCCCTCCACCCCCTCCTGATCCCCGCGCACAGCACGACGCCCCAATCGCCGGTCCTCGCCATCATCTTCTTCTCCCTGTCCCTCCCTCTCCGCGCCCGCTCCTCCTTTCTCTTCAGCCTCTCCACCACGTCAGCCACGACAGTCACCGCCTCTGCCACGTCCCTATCTCTCCTCTCCGCCCTCCCCCACATCTCCTTGATTCCCTGCCCGCCCTCCTCAACCTCGCGCGCCGCGTCGCGCACCCCTCGCGCCTCCCTCAGGGCATCCAGCCCCGCCTCGACGACGGTCTCGGCCATGCCGCCGGCCCTCCTGAGCCCTCCGACGACCGCGCCTCCGTCCCATTCGCGGTGCTCCGCGAGCGCCACGGCGTGCTCCAGGCGGCGCACGACCTGCTGCGCGGCGGCGGCCGCGCACAGCTTGGGCCAGCGCTGGCGCAGCGCGCGGAAGGCCTCGTACGTGTCGTGCGGCAGCGCGGACAGGCAGGTCTGCGGCTGCGTGCTGCGCAGGCAGCGCGGGGCCGGCAGTCCCACGTGCGTCAGCAGGCAGTGCAGCACGTGCGTCGTGGCGACGTCGGCTTGCAGAGGCGTCACTTGCGAGCACGGCGACGCGCGTAGCGCGCGCGACATCGCTAGCGTGGCGCACGTGGGCGGCGGCAGCGGGGCCGGCGTCGAGGCGACGGGCGAGTCCGCCGAGGCGCGAGAGAGGAAGAGCGCGAGGAGAAGGAGAGGTGTCGGCACTGCCATTGTGCGCGGTGTGGGCGACGCTGGAGGGGGCGAGGCGGTTGTGCGGGCAGCGTGAGCTGCGGAGGGGCTGGGGTACGCAATGCGCAGGGCGCAGGGCGCAGCGGTCGTGTTCGAGATGGTGTCATGGATGCGTGTGGTTTTTGTTTGAAGGTTTAAACTGGTGATGGTTTAGATGTTGGTGGTTTTGTAAGATGGCGTCCCCTTAGCGACGCGAAGACAGACTGCGGCACTGCGGTTGGCGTGAGCAGTGTCGAAATGGGATTAACTTAATTTAAAGACAGGGCGGTGTCCTAGCAGCGTCGGGCGCAAGTTGCCGTGTGGGCTACGGTGATACTCAGGGAGTGAGCTGTAGAAGGCGCTCCTTACGCAGGGGCGAGGCGGCCGCTCAGAGATCGGGGCAAGGCGGTCAGGCGAGGCGGTTGCATACAGTAATTAGATTACGCTCGACAGGCATGATAGATAGATGGCCACGCATGCGCCTCGCTGGCATGCATGTGCAGCAGGGGCAGTGCGTGCAGACTCCGGGGGGTTGCGAGTGGAGGGTGGCGCGGGACGCGGTCGACGAGGTGGCGGAGGTGGCGGAGCGGCGAGGTGGCGGCGGCATTACATGCTACATGCCTCGCTTTCGCGGGTGGCGAGGTTGTGGGGCATGGCGCAGCGTGATGGCTGTCGCCCCGAAGCCGCCAGAAAGGTCGACCGGACCAGCGCGGTCGGCCGACGATGCATTTGCATCATGAATCTGGACAGCGCCCGGCGGGGGGTCGAAAACGCAACACATTTCTCCCCCACAAAATCTCGCCACCCATTGGCCGCCCCACGCGCGACAACCCTCGCGCACCATTCCCTCCGCTCCGCACTGCCGTTCCGGTATCCTTCCCGCTCTCATCCGCCTCTACAAACTCTACAAAACCTCCCTTCAGCCCTCTCCTCACCTCCTCCCCCTCCCCCTCCCC